ATGAAAAAGATAAAAAGGAAATTTTTTTTAAAAGTATTATACCCACTTGTGTTAGACTAAATGTCGTTTCTAGCTGTGGCTGAGCAGCTCATAGAGCGGCTCTGAGTTTTTCTTGTTGTTGTTTGGGTTTTTTCAAGTACAAACTTTTATCTCATAACTTCGTCATCTCTTGACCGATTTTAAATCTAATTACAGTTTTGGACTCAGGAGGTCAACCCTTTCGATTGATGTATTTGACCACCCCCATGGTATCTTAGATTAATTTGTTCTACTCCTGCCTAAAAGAATTTCAGTTTGAGAGTAGGTTGGTAGAGATCCTGATGAATAATAAAATTGTAGGGCTAATATAAAGGGAAACAAATGTTTCATACATTAATTTACTCTAATCCTGCCTAAAAGAATTTCAAGTGCCATGGCTATTGAGCATTCTCTCTTGTTTTATTTGGATAATGGCGTGTAATAAAAGCATACTTAACCATGGTAACACTACTCCAATACAAGAAAAATCAAGATACAAATAAAATTTTATCTTTCATTCTACAGCATCTTTAGGATATTCAATACACAAATTGTGGCTCAATATATAATGTATATGTGGCTCATGCATTTACTTCCTAGTCTATCTGTTAGGTCACTTCATAATTAATGTATCTAGTCGTGATTCCGACGTGGGCCTAAAATCGAAACTTTGTACAGTATATATACATGTGTGTGTGTGTTTTAGTTTTAAAATCTAACATTTATTATTTTATTTTTACAACTCACAATAGCAACACCCATAGGAGTCAAGATCTTTGAACCAAAATTCTTTTACATTATTACAGCTTGCTCAAAACTGTTTAATTATGAAAGAAACCTTACGCTCAACTAAAACTTATTTTCAAAAATGTCTCTATTAACCCTTATAAGTAATGAACCTTACACATGTTTATTTTTAATTATTACCTCGTACTTTTACAAATGTGTTTTTAAAAATCGCTAATCAAACTATTTGAAAGTACCTGCACAAAACTTAAGTTATAACTGGATTTTGTTATAAGATCAATCAACCGTCTTACTTTATTCTTATAGAAATCCAACACCAGTAGGGCCGGCCTCAGTGGCCAAGTCGATTGTATACTTCTAGTATCCAAACACGAGAACCTAATCCTGTGTACTCGCATCAGGCCCCGCACCCTCCCAAGGCCAGCTCTGAACACCAATTTTGCGACCCATAGCTAAGCCTTAAATAAAAAAATTACATGTTTGCCATACAGAGAGAGAGCAATCGGACAAATGAAAGCTGGTTCGTCACGGCAGGCTTTTGCGACTTTGCTGCAAGAGTCTCGAAGTGTATGAACTAAATGCGGAAACACAAGTTAATCAAACAGTTGCTCTGAAAACTGGACAAAGTAGAGCATCACTCACAACACAAAACATCTGACTATCGGGTTTGGTTTACTGCAATCTTAAGGTTCCCGCTCTGAAAACAAAAACCCGTGACAGGGATTTAGTTTTTAAAGGAAATAAACTTTCCCAAACTAGGATGTTCAGGGATGTTATCATCCCTCTTCGCCCTGCTCGTGATAATTTATTAGCTAGTTGTAATCGATTTCAAATTCAATTATAGAGAATGATGTTTGTTTGTTTGAAGTTAAGCACAAAGCTACACAATGGGCTATCTGTGCTCTGCCCACCACGGGTATCGAAACCCAGTTTCTAGCGTTGTAAATCCACAGACATACCGCTGTGCCACTGGGGGCTATAGAGGAGGAACAGGTATTATTTTAAGATGATTTTGACGTCGTGAGATGAGGGAGAAATGTCCAGAGGGATCCGTGGGAGAGAGAAAAGCAGCAAGGCTAATGACTCCGATGGTGATAACGAGAAGATGTAAAGTGACAAACTTTCGACAAAGTACACTCCAACAAACTTCCATTAATCAGAGTCACGGTGTGGCTGGGATATGTAAACCCAAGATCCCCGAGAAAACTCACTTTCACGGTACCGGCGCATCCGCTCTGGAACTGAATCAGATGTTTGCAGTCGGAACTGAACTAATGAGAACATCCATGCTAAATTAGTCTATATATTTCTTGAAGAAGGAGGATTGGTCAAATGGGATGGTCTGTACACTCACCCTCATGACCTCAACCCCACCTACCATGCATGGGATGTTCTTGGGAGACGTGTCGCAACCCGTCAAGTGACTCCAACAATAAATATGCCTTGGAAACAGCTATTTCAGTGAACTGGCCGAGAATATCTGAGGACCGTGTCAAGTTATTATGCAACTTTCGGTTTTATGCATGCAACACTGGTGTCACGCTACCTTAGTTGTTCGTAGTGAATATAAAAGTGAAATGTCATGAACTGTGAAAATGTAAAGTCATTTCTACCAAATGTTCATGTAATTATAATTCTATTCCGAACTACAAATAATGTACATTTCAAATCACATGAACGTTCATTAGGAGAGTGATTTGCATAATATTACCTCGGAAGTGGAGTTATCGGCATTATTTTATAACAGCATTTGTCTTTGACATATATAGAATAAGTTACAAATGTTTCTTGATTAATTAGTGTAATGTACATTGCATGCAGAATAAAGGGGATTTTGGTGATTCATCACGTCATTACATGTTTTATTTGATGACCTAGCAACTTGAAAATCGCGCTGCAGTATAGTGTCCATTGCAAAAAGCTTCGTCGTAATGCTGACATATCCAAATCACACTACTCTTCCTTGCTTGCTTTCAATAATCCATCTAATGTTCAAGGTTAACAGTTTCCCAGTATCCAACCACGTAGAAATTTATAAGCACTACAGATATCGACGTGAGCAATATGTCTTCATCTAAAATAGCATGAATAATTATTTCGTTCTCCAGCTGCTTGAAATATGTGATAAGTGAATGGATATATCTTAGAAGCAGCTTATTTCATTTTTCCAAACGGAAATCCTTCTTAATTACGTTGCATACTGTTGCCTAGGGTACGTGGACGGCTTCTGTCATTGAACTTTATGTTAATGGACCCGGCATGGCTAGTTGGTTAGAGCGCTTGACTCGCAATCTAAGAAACGCGGGTTCGAATCCCCGTCCCACCAAACATGCTCGCCCTTTTAGCCGCGGAGGCGTTATAATGTAACCGTCAATCCCATTATTCGTTGGTAAAAGAACAGCCCAAGAATTGGCAGTAGGTGATGATGACTAGCTGCCTTCCCACTAGTCTTTCACTGCTAAATTAGAGACGGCTAGCGCAGATAGCCCTCGTGTAACTTTGCGCGAAATTCAAAACAAATCGTTACAATACGCCACATTTTGCTTACCACTGCTAGGGTACAACTTGTTGTAGGTCTCTTTCTAGATGATTCTCGTGCCCTATATTCCTTTGTTTTCCTATGTTGTTAAGTAAAATAAATATCCTCATTTTGGAGGTTCTAAATTTCTGTTGTTAAATACATCTTTCTGACCCAAGTGTATGAATATTTTGCCTCGAAAAGGGTTATTACATCACTTTTCCAAAAACAATTTTCGGTAGCAGTATCAAAATATAATTCCAATACATTCCTTTTCACTGCCACTTTATATAGACTGTCGTTGTCACGTTACTATTTACATATTCACGATCGTTTTAATATAGGGTCCTCTGTACTTCTCACGTACTGCAAACATCTATAACTTCCAACCAACGAAAGAACAGAGTGGTAAAATATGAGTGTGGTGCAAAAATCATTCAGTTTTCATGCGGTATCACGATTTTCCTAATGATTAAGGTGTCACTAATTCTCCACGAACTGAAGATGTGTTTTTGAAGCAGTCTATGAAGTTAACCTACAGAAAGTAGCACCATTTAACACACTCACTTGTATACTTTGAGATAGTAATGATATTACAAACTGGAAGCTGTACATGTCATTTCAAGATGCAACGCATTTAATTTTTTAAATACCTCAAATCAAGCCCCAGAGCAATGTTTAAATATCTTTGCGATACTACTACTTAGGAAACAAACAAACTGTACTTGGATATCTCGTGTTCATATATTTGCTGTCTACTGGTTGTATTAGTTGTGAAAAATTATTCGAGGAAGTGAATAGTGCGTTCAATTTTTTCAATAATACACATACGTAGTATACGAGATGATTCCTATTATACAATCCAGAATGATCACAATGTATGTTTAAGATGACACGGTTAAGAATTATATGCTACGTTATTAAAACTAATTGTTATATACCAAATGTAAGTTTCACATACGCTTGTAAAAACTGTTGTTACAATTGAAACATTGCTTTTATTATTGAATTTCTGTAGTGCATATTGGTGAATAAAAGGCATCTTAATACTAGTAATAAACTATATTATAACAACAAAGCCCTAACTGACAGACAGTGCAATTGAAGCTTTGTACTGTCAGTTACTGTTTGTGGTTTAGTGAAAAGCTCCTGAAGAAGCTGTAAAGCGAAACTTTGTGTGTCTAATTAAAGAAAAATTATAATTATGATGTTATAAGGTCGTTTACTACTAATATTAAAATTCCTTTTGTCATACATAGTATTCAAACTCAAAAATTAAAACAATAAAAACAGGGGCGTACTAGCCAGAAGTTCTGGAGGCCCACCTCTTCTTGGCTTTGAACTATTTGTCAATTATTTGGGGCTAGTAAACTCTCACTGAGGTTTCGTTCAATGATGCGAGTAATCCAGCCTCCAGTTTGTAAAACGGGCCTATTATTGCCAAGCACTGAACACAAAATTATATTTTTTTGTTAAAAGTATACGATATCAAACAGAAGACTAACTTGGTGGTTCGTCAGCTTTTCTGAATGATAATAAAGTTAATTAAAATAAAATAATTAATAATCGGTGTTTGAAAATGAATAAATAATATTGTGTTATTAATTATTTCTCTAATAATCTGACTAGTAAATGTCTTTACATGTGATATTAATACATGCATTAAGAGCTTAGCTACGCTGTCCTAAGATTAGAAATTATTTTCACACACTACTCATCATCATAATGTCAGTTTATCCACACATTTGAAAATATGTTATCTTTATGTAATGTTTGAAGCAGTACGGCATAACACATACAGATCTCTACCGAAAACCATAGCCAAAAACAAATTAATTATGACTGATTCGAGCTTTTAATTTTATTGAAATTGCTATTTAGGTTTAAAAACGTAAAAGCACAGTGAAGTTAACCAAACACTTCGTGAACCACCTATTGGAAAGTACTACATGAATACCGGAAAAAATCAAACTACTTTCCTTTTTGAGCACAATCATACACTCAATACAATAATTCAAACTTGTATTCATAATTTTCTCCTTCACAAAAGAAACTTTCATCAATTAACAAACTCCTAGGTCAAAAAATATATGTTATTACATTTTACATCTAATTAACCTTCAAGTCTTTATGTTTGTTTCTTGTGCAAATTATGCATAATTATAAGCACACTTTCTCACATTAACTCCGCTCTTCATCTTCTATCATAATTAAATTCAAACATGCTATCGACATCACTAATATAAATTATAACCAAAAGAAGCGTATTAGGTCTTCGTTTATTCCCTTTAATGATGTTTCACCTTTTGTTTCCTATTAAGAAGCCAAGTTTTTACCAACTTTAAAAGATTACTACCTACACGTATAGTATAATGAAATTCAGATTACTAATCTAACTCTCATCCAATACTTCGATCAACTGGTAAAGTAAGACTTGACCAGATAATCCCTAATAACATCTTCAAAGGGGTCAGTCATTACTGATACAAGGAGCGATAAGGGGAGAACACCATAGCTATAACTGGCTACGTACGTAAATGATATTTATTAAGCGTGGGATTAGCCATGATTACTCATTCCTGAAAACGTATTTTGAAAGGTAGTAATTTTTAGCTGTATTTCCTCAGATTGCGTATAGTTCAGTACGAAAATATTTTCACACAAACGTTCTTTACGCATTACTATAAAATAACTATTTCTATTAATATCTTCAAAATAAATATATACGCATATATATATATATATTTGAATGATACAGTTTTATACATAGAACCTCCCTCAGTGCTCATTAGTGGATATCAAACTAAAAAACATCATCAGCTGACCATTGATGATGCAGTAATGCAGCCACTATCAGGTTGAAGATCATTTAACTAGGTTTCCATCACCACTTTTTTTTTAGAATTTACTTGGGAAAGTTTGATGTTTATAACAAATGACATGAAATAAGCTTTGCCGAACTAACATTCTTCTAAAATCCATATATTGAGGATAAGAATAATGGAAGTCATGCTTCTTGGTTGCTACCATCATTTTTGTTCCCAGGATTTAGATTACAGAATCGTAACACTGATGTCTAGACTAACATCTGAGTAGAAGAGTTCAGGTAGTTACCACTGGCTGTTCATAATGTACATAGGAAACGGGAGTCGAAGTATACGAGGATCATGTTTGTTTGCTACTGCTGCCCGTCGTCAACTCCCAATCCACTTTTTTTTACGACACACGTCCTAATGCAGTATATGAGCTAATATCGACCTACAACGGTTGTCGTAATTTTTGTTCTCAAAATATGGCTGTCTGAGCCCAAAATGACAGAATCTAAAATGAATGTTATACCTTCTGTATGAAAACAAATTAATAAACCACCTTACAAAAAATAATGCTAAAACCCCCTTTTCATCCAATACAATGAAAAAATCTAAGGTTAGACATAATGACTGTTAAGTATATATAGTATAATAACACTTTCCAATACCTAAAACTACAATTAAGTTAACCAAATTTTCTATTTCTTCTAAAAAAAAGTATTAAATAGTATATATAGAACATTTGACATTAGTGTGTAGTATTATATTTATGAAGTAAACACACTAAAACGCAATTTCCGTGTAGTTGTAATAATTAAGAGAAATCATACACTTATTGTTGAGTTTTTTACATTTCTCTGAACATCATTAGTTAATTAAGCCTAACAGTTGCATACAAGTCTTCATGTCCTTATTCAAGCTTATGGCCGAAACAAACAATGTAAGTCACTTAACCTAAACTTTGACATCAATAATACAAACAGAAATTTAACATTAATCAAATATGACTTGTTCTTTTCAATTTCATCCCCCTCTTATAAGTCATAACGTCTATTAGTATTAACCAATTTCTTGTCACAGTAATACTAATAGTTGTAATAATATGCTTATGTTACAAACTATAAATCGAACAAATATGCATTTGTTAAAAATAAATCAATATTTTTAAAAGTAATCACAAACAAAATTACAATTGACATTATCATATATAAACGGTAGGTCCATCTACGTAGAAGTATCTAATCCTACTTCTTCTTGGTATCGAGAAGATAAGTAATCGGCAGAATCTGAAAATTGATTCAAAATAGTCTGCAATGCTTGTAGATGATAACGGAAAGAGTTTGTTAAGCAAGTGGCCTGTGCTCCTGATGTCCCAATTCCATCTTCGCTGGCTAATTCTAACGATGAAAATCCTAGACTATCTATATCAATATCTCCTTGGATATCTTTACCAGGCGTTAAACATGTATTACCCAGTGCCATAATTTTTTCTTCGGGCAGAAGTTCATGTTTTGTTGGAGTAGACGGGCGATCCTTCATAACAGGGGGTAATAAAGAAGTTGTTTTGTGTGTAGGTCCCCATAATAATTCATGTCTAACATCATTCAGCAAAGAATAAAAGGTGAACAAGTTTGTTTTATACTGTCGATTAGGAATAGACTGCCTTTCAATACTTTCACTGTCTGCATCCATGTCTTTCAGACGTGAAGGAACAAGTACTGTTGCCTCCATATTTTTCACAGATTTCACAAAACGGTCCATAACATTTAGTAATGACTGTTGAGAAAATGATAGATTATTATTACCACTATCAAGAGCACTTCTTCGTCGATCTCTTTTCATCTGATAACTCTGCACAGTGGTATTTTCAGAGTGTTGAAGAATACTTGTAATGCTAGAAAGTAGTATCGAAGTAGGAGTCGAGCGTCGTGCTTTCCCACCTTCTGAAATCGAAGCTAGTTCTCGTGCATAGTGCTCTTTTCCTGCTTGAGTCTGACCCGCATACGAAAACCGCTTTGGTTTTTGCAAGACATTCTCAAGTCCTGCGTACGATTTTCTTCTTACGCGATTTTGACTGACAACGTTCGCCATCGTTTCTGCGGTTAACCTGCTCTCACACTGGCCCCACTTTTCCAAAGTAGATTATAGCAATCGCCAGTTCTAACGTTGTTGTCACGTGCTTAGTATACAAACACTGATAGCAGAGGAGCAAGAATAATAAATTATTCAACCAATTACACACGAGGAAATAATCTCTTTAAGAAGAATTACTCAATTTATTGTCGTATTGAAATAGATGTGTGCGTAACCAAAATTTATGTCCCAGTTTAATAAATTAATTATTGTGAAGCTCAAAGCTTTAGTCCCCACCCCTATTAAGAAATGGTGATGAACGTTACAAGAAGGTGATGAAATTCACTTGTGATTGGACAATTAGGAATCGTACGTTCCAGTCTTATAATTCTTCTTCTCTTTTTTTTTTGCGCGAAGAATGTGTCAAATGGAAGGAGAACAATGCTAGTGACAAAAAGGTGATGCAAGAATTTCGAAAACGTATATGATCATACGAGCAGTTATAAAATATATAACACTATTATGAGACTGATAAGGCATACTGGAGAAAAACATTAATAAAATGTTTATCTAATTTCACATTTATAACCCAAAGAATTATCTACTAAGTAATTTTTCATATAAATTTTAATTTATTGCTTCCTATCATGTTGAAAAATAACATTTATATTTGGTAGATAAAAAAAAATTAAAATACGAATTGTGTCAGATTTTAAAAATCTAATCTTCGCCAATTATCAAAATAAAAAGGCTTTTAGTTATACTTCTTAATAGTATAAATATATACTATATTGTTGTTGGACTTAGGATTATTCTACAGTAGGTGTTTGTGACTTGTTAGCGATAAATTCAATGATGAATAAACAGCATGCACTTCAGTTGTTTTCAAAATAATATATATATATTCAGAACAAGTTAACATATGTACATTAAATTCTTCAGCACTATAGATATTATGGACATATCATAAATACTATATATCTAGTCTTCTCCTTCTTGTCAAATATCCACTTAGGCCTATTCGATTACTTTAAAGTTACAGTTGACAAGTCGAACTGTCTTCTCTATTTCTATCGCACTAGTACTCTCTGTGGTTCTTTTACAATTGTGGCACGAATAACCGTAATCGTTTGGTATTCTTTCTTTTGAAGATTCTCATAGTGGGATTGTCCGTCACGTTATAACGCCCCCATGGATGAAAATGCGAGCATGTTTAGTGTGACGGGGATTCGAACCCGCGATCCACAGATTGCGAGTCGAGCGCCCTAACAATCTGGCCAGATAAGGGGTACGCTTGATCATATGTTTACGGACCAAGGATGGCAATTTTCAAAGGGAAGCATCCATTGGAAAGTGGTACATTTGTAACCGAAGGGAATATCTTGAATAAAGATAAATAATACATGTCCATTTTTTTATTTATTATGTTTGTAATAGACTACTTGTATAAATTTAGATAATAATTCAAATTTAATAAAGGAGAAACTACGGAAGCTGCTTTTAATAAAAGAACATTTTTATTTAATCAATTATTTGTTTGAAAACTGGATCGAAGAATATTATCACGTTTTTTAATAAATTAAATAAAACACAAATATACAACTTATCGCTAACACGCAAGTAACCAGTGAGCAATTCACCGTACATACGAGAGACCCACGTGAATGTTAAAAGAATCATACATAATTCTTGTGAAGCTAAATCTTATTTTGGAGACATTGACAATGAAATTAAATATACCTCATCAAATTCTATTCTGTAGTTTCTGATATGGGTGAACCTTGGCGTTACTAGATAGCTTCCCCACTTTGTAGGTTACATCATTTAGTTGTGGTTTAGCATACATCCTGATAAGCACTGGTCATTTAGCCTGTAGTGATTTGTTTTGTTTTTATAATTAGGGCGAAACCACGTACCTAAAGTTTTTCTTATTTTATTTGAACTTTGGCACAACAAACAATAGATGTACGTCATCATAGAACATTATCCCGTTCTTTCAGCAAGGCTTTTAATAACAACCATACATTCTGAGAGACGAAAAAAGTTCTTTTTTTGAGAGGGGGGGGGTCTTATTCTGTATTTGAATCCAGTGTGTCAAGACGAAGATTGTAATGATTGCCCAAGATCGACATCATTATGAACTAAAAAAAATAAAGCTTAACTAAAACCAGAGTGAAATTATTTAGTGTTTTAAATACTCTGTTGAGCGACTAGTGGGAATCAGTTAGAACCGGTTAGGTGTTATCATTGAATCTGGTAATGATATAAAGTCATGACTTCGTAAGCTAAATATATTCGACAGTGTAGACATTGCTTTGATAAGATTGTTTTATAGCTTAGTCAAACTTAATGTATCGAGAGGGGGTGTTTAAATAATGGAAACTCACTTAAAAAGGTACTGAATGGATCAGATTTCTGTCAAGTCTAGTAATAAAGAAAAATACTGCTTTGTTTAATCAGTTACAATAAACGTGTTTGAAGGTGATAATCACATAATATTGAAAATGGTATAAAATTATTTATTTTAGAATTCCACGTTGCTTTGTTCTACCAGATTGTACATCACGACTCTTATGTTCCCTCTTGTTTATTACTTAAAACAGATTTAGTCTCATACCCTTATACTAACTTGGGCCATAGAAAATGCATGTCAAGTTAATAATGCGGAAAAAGATGAAACAAATTTAAGCTAAGCCTTTTCCTAAAGTGTTGATCAAATAATGATGCTAGACTTACATGTCCTGGCGAGTACGAAGCACGCGTGGTGGCTTCGCTAAATGCATTTCATCGTATTTCATGCTAACAAACCACCAGATGAACCTTGGCGTTACTAGATGGCCTCCCCACTTTGTAGGTTACATCATTTAGTTGTGGTTTAGCATATATCCTGATAAGCACTGGCCATTTAGCCTGGCAGCACAATTCTACAGTTCAGTGGATCTCTGCTGTAACTCAAAATCACCTCAATACATATATCCCAGACAGTTTTATATAGTCATGAGGAAAAGATCCACTGGATACTGGTTGCCTGAGAATGTTAAACATATTTTCCTGTAAAATATCAGTATGTCCTATCTCAGCAGTGTCTAGGCAGTGGCTTATTACTACTTTCACATTCTTACTCTCATCAAATCCTGGTCACACGCACTAAAATGTTCTTCCTCAAAAACACTGTGGTATTTTTTATTAGGATTAATTATATAACAGGTAATAGAACTCACAGATTATAGGAGGATTATGAAGTTAGTTTCTTGCGATTAACTGAAAGTTTCAATTGAATTGATGAAGAAACAAGACAAGTCATGCATAAGAAAAACACAAATATTCATTATATATTACAGTTAATTCACATACATACAATGATAACTAAAATGATCATTAACTAATTTAAATTAGAACAAAACTGACCTAAGACTTATAAAAATAAATATAGTGGCCGGCTAGTTTTATGATGACAGAACATTATTATTTATATTGGTGGAGTTCAGGACAAGGGTTAACTCAAGAAAGCATGGAATCTATCAGCAAAGCTGCAGATCTGTAGTCAATCATCTCAGAAAACATGACAATTAAACTGTATCTTCCCCTGTCAAAAGCAATTGCATGGGTGGGGGGGGAGTGTAATCATCAAATGTTGAAATGCCATATAAAATACCAAAGGGGTATCATATGCCTGCAGCAGGTGTGCTTTTTCCCAAGTGTTAAACGGACATTTAGAAACTGAAACTTTATATGCATACTAACTGGAGTACCCTTACCCTGGACGGAGCTTGTGTAAATTCATGATTAATTAAAGGTTATCTTAGGACATGAAAAGTTGCTTCCCTTATAACTAGGTAACACTTTCCAATGGATGCTTACATTTGAAAATGGCCATCCTTGGTCCGTAAGATATGACCAAGTGTACCCCTAGTCTGTAATCATCTTACTAAGTGTCATCTCCGTTTTGCAAAAATATTACCAAGTATCGTCTCTGTTCTACAAACATATTACTAAGTATTATTTCTGGTCTATAAACGTAGTACCTTACCCAGTGTCATTTATGGACTATAAACGTATTACCTTACCCAGTGTCATTTATTGACTATAAACGTATTACCTTACCCAGTGTCATTCCTTTTCTAGAAACGTATTACCTTACCCAGTGTCATTCGCTAGTCTATAAACGTATTACCTTACCCCGTGTCATACCTATTCTATAAACGTATTACCTTACCAGTGTCATTCCTAATATATAAACGTATTACCTTACTCAGTGTCATTCCTATTCTATAAACGTATTACCTTACTCAGTGTCATTCCTATTCTATAAACGTATTACCTTACCCAGTGCCACTCCTAATCTATAAAGGTATTACATTATCCAGTGTCATTCCTAATATATAAACGTATTACCTTACTCAGTGTCATTCCTATTCTATAAACGTATTACCTTACCCAGTGTCACTCCTAATCTATAAAGGTATTACATTATCCAGTGTCATTCCTAATCTATAAACGTATTATCTTACCTTGTGCCATTCCTGGTCTATAAACGTATTACCTTACCCATTGTTTTCCTAATCTATAAACGTATTACCTTATCCATTGTTTTTCCTAATCTATAAACGTATTACCAAGGAGTGTTTTTCTCAAGACATCATTTATTTTTAACTACATTTGTATTCCTGATTTACTTCCTACATTTCTTCTCTATTCAGATCATCATCATCACTGTCAAAATAACTTTTTTTTTCCTCGGGTTTGTTCTCATTCAGAGCATCATCAACGTCGGCGGTATCTCTATTATTTTCTCTCGAATTTATTTGCAATAAGAACATAATCATCATCAAATGTATTTCAAATAAAGATTGTTTTCACTAAGTATCACTAGCGATGTACGGTTCTTTTCCTTTTTTTTTGGGGGGGGAGGGGGCATGGCCAGGTGGTTAGGGCGCTAGACTCGCAATCTTCGGTTCGTGGGTTCAAATCCCAGTCACACCAAACATGCTCGCCCTTTCAGCCGTGGGGGCGATATAAAGTGACGGTCAATC